CATGTCTACTTCCTGTCTGGAGCCTAAAGCACACACACACACACACACACACACACACACACACACACACACACACACACACACACACACACACACACCTCTAAACCTAACTAGTGAAGCACAGCAGAGGACCAGGAAAAAATCCTCACTCTCCAACAATGACCTCTCCTCTTTGGTTAAAAGCATGATGGTCCTCACTCTGCAGCAGAAACAAGTACACACACACACACACACAAACTCAGTTTAGTCCGTTCTGGTTCCACAGTAACCCTGAATCAGGGACCATCAGTCCAGACATTTCTGCTGTTTCCTGTCTGTCTAGAAGCTAGACTGATCTCCAGACTGTTGTAAAGTTTCAGCCTGTGACCTGTGACCTTTCAGGGCAACCTGTCTCGGTATCTGACTGTCCACACTGTGGACTGGTTGACCTGCTGCAGGATGACCCATGGTGTGACCCGAGGACTGTCCTTCCTGCACTCTGAACTCAACAGAGGAGGTATGTGAAACCAAACAGGACTGTTATAGGGACTATTTTCTGCAGTGGATTAATCTCCATGAGTCTGTCTGTCAGAAGGTTTGGGTRYTTGACAGGCACTTCAGTCTTTGTTCTTGCTTAAGGAACATGAATAAAACTGTTTGAAGAACCTTTGAAGGAACATTCTTGTATGTTAGCTCTGTGGTTCTAACAGAACCCACTTTTACAGCTTCAGACGTCTTCAACCATCAGGTTTGATGTTTGTAATGAAAGTTGGTTTAAAGACCAGAGGGTGGTTTGTTCTCCATGCAGCAGTCTGAGGAACATCTGCTTCATCTTCTCTGTGACTTCACTCCAGTTTACAGCTGGAGCTGCACTTTCTGATGTCAGGAAAAGTTCTAGATTTTTAGATTGGTGGAAAACTGAATGTTCTTACAGCCCAAAGGTCGGTTCTTCCCAGAGACAGCAGCAGAGGTTCAGCCCAYGAGCTGTTTCAGATGTTCTGAGAACAAGAGGAGCTCCTCTCAGACCAGCTCTGTAACAGAACCTTCTTGTCTCCACTCAGACCAGTACAAACCAGCTGTAGCACACAGAGACCTGACCAGCAGGAACGTTCTGGTCCGTGCCGACCTGTCCTGTGTCCTCGCAGACTTTGGACTGTCCATGAAGCTCACAGGAACCAGGTCCAGTCAKTCTGGAGACGAGGACACCATGACCATCTCTGATGTAGGTGACAGTTCCCTGTTTTCCACCCAGAGCGTTGTGCACCTGTGGAACAGGTGTGAAATCAGCAGAGGGCCGAGCTAACGATCTGTTTGCAGGTGGGGACGGTCCGGTACATGGCTCCAGAGGTTCTGGGTGGAGCTCTGAACCTGAGAGACTGTGAGTCTGCTCTGAAACAAGTCGACGTCTACGCTTTGGGTCTGCTGTTCTGGGAGAGCTTCAGGAGGTGCTCTGACCTGTTNTTCACAGAGTTCAGCTGATGTCAGTGGAGAGTCTAGTTCTGATGACTGACTACTGGATAATTTTGGAAGTATTACTTTTTCCAAGAAACAGTCAATATCCTCATCTGATGGTATAGATTTTAATAAAATTGCATAAAAATACTATTTACTTTTTCCTGATCGAAAGTTGTATTCTCAGTTATGTCTTTAACACCAGAAATAGTTGATTTTTCTTTATTTATTTTAAGTTGGTTAGCTAAGAAGCTTCCTGATTTATTATTATGTTCAAAATTTTCCAAACAAAGTCTTTGTAACAAGAATTAATTTTTTTCAGTAATTTCATTCAATTCTAGTTTTGCTTTCCGCATTTTTTGCTCTCTCTCTTCTCCTTGCAGAGCTTCAAACAATTTAATGGATTCCTCTAAATCCTGAATACGTTTATGTTCAGATTTCTTCTTATTTGTTGAGAATGAAATTATTTTTGCCTCTCATAACTGTTTTCCTGCCTCCCAAAGAGTAGATGCTGATGTACCTGGTAAATCATTATACTCTAAATATGATGACCATTCTTTTTTAAAGTATTGAATATGTACCTGGTAAATCATTATACTCTAAATATGATGACCATTCTTTTTAAAGTTTTGTATAAACTGTTAGACACATAAGTCTTATCGGTGAGTTTCACCACTCCAGGAGCGGCATGCTGATAAATTCTTAATTTTGTCCGGAGCCCAGTTTAACACCGCGCTCAGTTTAACAAACTGCTGACCCACATCTKTGCTGATATCTCCTGCCAGAACACCAACTGCTGACGGTCGAATTCAGCTAAAGAGCTCCTGTCCATCTGTTTTGGGTTAAGGGCAACATTCAGGAAATCCTCACGTTGCTTGCATTGATGCGGCGTGTTGAGCAGCACAAGATCAGATTTTTGAACTAGAGTGTTTGAACGTACTGCATGCACGTCAAACGCTCAACCTCACCTACCACTTCCTTGCGCACCGTGTTAAATGACGTAGAAGTGCCGCAAGACCCCTAGACGTGCATCCACCACAGATTTGCATGTGAACCGGCCACATCAGTCATGTGTTCCAATAATTTTGCTCACTTGAAAAAATGGGTGGATTCAAAGAATGGGATGTTCTGAGTTGTTTAACACATCTACATGAAAATACCAGGAAAWAAAAGCTGACATTCTGAACTCTTGTCTCACATTTGTCCTTTGATCTTAAACCCAAATGTCTTCAGTGTACAACAAAAATATGATAATTTGACTTGCTGTTTCAATACTTGGAGCAGACTGTATGCCTACAGAGAATAAAAAAGAAAAGAGAGGGATGTTGTGAATGATAAATCAGCCAT